CCGCCACCTCCGCCGCCGCTGCCGGCGGGAGAATGAGCCGGGGAAGGCCCGTTCTGGCCTCGGTAAGGCTAAAAAAGGAGGAAAGGCTGCGGGGATGGGGGGGAGAGGGGAGGCCGCGGAAGAGCCGCCCCGGGGAGGCGGGAGGAGAGGACCAGGGACGGAACGGCCGCCACAAAGAAGTGGCCCCGTTTGAAGGCGTGAGGGGCAGAGAGGCAGCATCCCCCCCCTTCGCTACAGACACAGGTATTTTGCTTTTTTTGTTTGAGCTTCCTTGAAGGCGTGGCAGGAAGAAATCCAACAGGGCAGCGCCTCGCCTCCTCACCGCGTGGCCCTTGCAGCTGTGGACATCGGAGGGTATGACAGGGAGGAGGATTCATTCAACAGGGCTGTCTGCTTAACCCCCCCCCTCTCTCACACACACACACACGCACACACCCTGTGTCCTGTTGTTGTGAGCGTCTGAAAGTATAGCAGGACGAAATCCAACAGGACTAGATGCAGTACTGGTGCACCCCCGTCCTGCCCTTTTCCGAGCTTCTGGAGAAGCGACAGGCAGAACTTCAACAGGGCAACTCTCCCCCTCCTCCTTGCATACCCCATGCCCTGCCTACACTTTTGCAGGCGGCTGAGGACAATCAGGATGGTCATCGGATACTCATGTGCTTCAGCCTGACACAACCGCCAGGGATCGTTCTGTCCTTGAGAAATCACATGTCTTTTTGTTTTATCGGGCTCCCTCCCTTTCGGTTCAGGGATCCTTTCCCAAAATATTCTTCTTGAATATTTGTTTGCAGTTCGAGGACTGTTCCTCCTCCAGCAATGAGTATTCCTCAGAGTTTGGTGCCTGGGCAATCAGCCTTGGAAAGGAAGCCCTTTTTTCTCACCGAAGGACCGCTGACGAAACAAAGGAAGCTATGGCTGTAGCTAGACAGCTGATTTGGGGCTCTTTTCTGTGTAATCTACTTTATCTTGCACATTTGTTCTTCCCGAGAAGGCTCCAAACAGCACTCCAATTTTTCCCCTTTCAATTAATAATGCCCCTGCCTTTAGTTGCAGCTGTCATTTTGCTGGCCAGGGCAACTTCCCTTATTTTTTAAAATTTCGTAGTGGCCTAGCGCTACGGCAATAGATTAACCTAGCATGGATACTCCCTTACTGTATATCTGAAGTAGCACAGCATCAACTAGATCAGCGGCCCTCAACCATTTTAGCCCCATGGACCAGCTGGGGAAGGCGGGGCACCCCCCTGCGCTTGTGCACATGTGTGAAGGGGTGTGCTTGCGCTTGTGCACATGTGCAAAGGAACAGGGGTGCTCATGCAGGGGAGCACGCTCGTGTGCATGCGCAAAGGGTGGTGCAGTGCTCTTGCAAGTGTGCTCATGTGCATGCGCAAAGGGTGGCACGGCGCTCGGGGGCACTCATGTGCATAAACGAAGGGGTGGGGGAGGGCCCACATGGGTGCCAGTGTACGCGCAGGCGCAAATGGGCTGTGTGAAGGGAGTGTGTGGGGGGGAAGTCTGACTACCCTCTAATTAACAAAATGGAGAGGATTGAAAATCTGGGTTGCGACAATGACAAATGTCTTTCATGAATTTGGGCTGTGTGAAGGGAGTGTGTGGGGGGGGAAAAGTCTGACTACCCTCTAATTAGCAAAATGGAGAGGATTGAAAATCTGGGTTACGACAATGACAGACAAACGTCTTTCATGAATTAAGGCAGTGGTTCTTAACCTTTTTGAAAGAATCGCTTCCTTGAGCCATTGAAGTTGTCATCGCCCCCCTCCCCCAACATAATGGCACCACTGCGGTGGCACCAGATCGGCTGCCAGCACCAGCTGCTCTGGATCCGCCTACCGGATCCGCTGCCAGCACCGTGGCTGCAGCCACCTTCGCAGGTTTGGCTCGCTCAGTCACCCCCATATCACCCCCCTTCTGTTCCTTCATCCCCACGGCACCCCTTTTCATTCCATCGCCCCCCGAAAAACAAAATCGCCCCCTGGGGCGCGATATTGCCCAGGTTAAGAACCACTGGATGAAGGGAATGCTGCTTTTGAATTTTGAATTGACTGCCTTGAGTGGTTTCATAGATTGTTGGCATTTTCAGACGTCATGTTTCAAGATCCAAGGACTCGAGAAGTTACATTTCTGTAATAGGGAACTGAATATGTATTGGCTGTTAATTAATACCTTGGCGGTGGTGGTATGTGCTGTCAAATTGCCTGTGACTGGTGGCAATCCTTTAAACTAGTGAACTCCAAAATATCCTGTCCTCAATTGCCCTGCTCAGCTCCTATAAACGCAAGCCCATGGCTTCCTTAATGGAATCAGTACATCTCATTATTAAAACATAATATCAAAACACTAATTAAAAAAAATCTTACTTTTTGATTTCCTATGCAAATGCTCTTCCATGCTGATTTTATCTGCCAACTCATCTGCCATTTTATTTATGAAATTCCAATGTAGCCCTTGCTAGCACAATTAAGAAATCCAGAATATAAAACCCAAACCAAAATCTAGCCATAATCAGCAGCTCTTGTCATATACGCCAAAGTGGCCATAAAAATACTGAGAAACTGTAGGGTTTGCAGATGACTGTCTCCTACGCTGCATATGCGAAGGGATATTTGTTCTGACATATGATTGAACATTTTTCTGATATCCCACTTGCAAACCCTTTTCATTCAGTCTCTAATACATCTGAATGTCAAATAGTATTCAGAGCACCCTAGTGCATCTTCATAAATACTGTACTGATATTGATTTAAAAGACATGAAACCTGTTCGTCCATATGTGAGTCAGCCGTAGAACAGCCTCCTCTAAATGTATGGCTGTAAACCGAACAAATATGCACTATGCATGAAATAGGTGTGGCTCTAGTCAAGTTATGTATTCAGCATATTTCTAACATTTATACACTTGACTTGTTTATGTGGCAGAGTCCCAGCTAAGGTTGTGTGGGTTTTTCCCCCTGCACAGAGAGGAGAGACTGTAAAGTGATACCTTGATCTCATTGTCTCAGGCTGCATCTGCAGACTCTGCCTTGCCTTGCCAGCAGTCTATATTCAGGAATAAGTGCCATTATGATCTGGCCCAATTTTTAGACAATCTCCTTCCTCCTCTACTCTCCTAATTTTTGTATCTTCTTTGTCTTATTAAGAGTTCTGGAGAATTCTTAGGGCAATTTAATTTTTAATTTTCGGCTCATCCAGACAGAGCATCTGTTTCCCTATATGTATTTGACTGCCCACTAAAGATATAAGTGTCTTCCTGTTCAGATGATGCAAGAGTTACTTGGTACCAATAGTAACAAAGAGCTGTTTTTGTTTAAACCACATCCTGTGAGTGGTTTGTTTATTTCACTTTGTACATAGGTAGAAAGAGTTATACTGAAATAGGAATTCCAACGTGAAGTAGCAGCAGAGTAGCAAAGAGCTTAGATTGCAAGTTTTCAACTACAGTTTAGTGCAAAACAAAACATTGAGCACATATCATTTAAAGCTGTTTTCTCAACATTTTTGAAAGTTGCTTTTGAAAGACAGCTTACTTCTGAAGTGGATAGGCAATGAATCTCCACTTCAAAGGACTCAGATCGGAATGCTAATCTGCGTGTTTAAAAAAGACCAGCATAGAAATCCATTTTTTAGAAATTAAAGGCAATTTTTGAACCATTGCTTTTAAAATACAGTGGTGCCCCGCATAGCGAGCGCCCCGTTTAACGACGAATCCGCATAGCGATGCGGATTTTGCAATTGCAAAAGCGATCGCATTGCGATGTTCTAAATGGGCGAAAATCGCATTGCGATGATCGGTAAGCGTTTCGCTTACCGATCTTCGCATTGTGATGTTTTTAAAACAGCTGATTGGTGGTTCCAAAATGGCCGCCGGGTAAACATAATGGCCACCTGCAGCATTTTCGCATGGTTTCCTCGCTTACTGGGCGGCGAAAGGATTTCCGCATAGCGGTGAGCTTTCCCCCCATAGGAACGCATTAAATGGCGTTTAATGCATTCCTATGGGGTTTTTTGCCCCGCATAGCAAGGAATCCGGATAGCGACTTTTTTTTTGAATGGATTAACGTCGCTATGCGGGGCACCACTGTATGGTGATTTCTTAAAGAGTAGAGAAGTAGGGTTTTAGAAATAAGTGTTGACAAAAATCTTGCTAAAATCCTTCGGAAAATGCTCCATCTGGATGGGCCTTGGTAGAGATCCAATGAAAGTGTTATGTAACCCAGAGCTTTTAGCTAGACTGTACCAGCTGAGTGGAAATTTTAAGTGCTTCCCTGACAAAAGCAAATACTCAAAATGCTCCTTGCACAAGGAGCCCCAAATTGGACTTTAGCAGTGTGTACATGAACATATTGGTCCTAATAACGGCAATTACAAACTTGAAGATTGCAGGAGAAGTAGGGGGCAACGGCTGCCCATTCCCTCTCCTAGAGATCCTTGTGCACTCCTTCCACAGAGCCAAGAAGATTGCTGGGATGTATGTGTGCATACATGCAGGTGTGTAGACGTGCATGTGGCTTCCAAACCTTTTCAGTCCATCACCTGTGGACTGAAAATGCTGTGCATTTGGGGTCTTGAAACAGTAGCGGTTATTTGCATAATGCACCTGAAGTATAAATGGGAGTTCTACTCAGGCTGTATACTATGGGAACAAGTCAATTTACTTCCACAAGATCTAAAAAGCTAAAAACTTCCTCTGCTGGACATATGTGATTGGGTTCAGAATAGGTTTGGAACAGCTCTTGTTTTGGGGCAGGAAATAACCAGGAGGATTCATTATGAACATTGACGGATTTATTAAACTTGGTGTTAGGTGAATCAATAACAACTTCAGTAGGCTCGAAACAACTTAACTCTGGAAGATGTCCATAAGATTCTGGAAACGTATTCAGAAAAGAATTGTCGTTTTTTACCGTGGAGCCGGACCAAAACGCTCCTTGTCCGAGGGTTTCCTTAAAGGAGCGCTCCTCACCGCACAAATTGTGCCACCGCACGGGTGGCATGCCCAGTCCCTCTCGAGTGGTGGTTTGTTGAACGACGTGTCTGGACGAATCATCCTCCTCAAGGGACCCTGGCCTCTCGGGAACACCACCAATGTCCATTCTGTGGTCTCAGTCATAGTCACCCCTTCTTTCTTCAAGGAACACCACCACTGTCCATTCTGTGGTCTCGGTCATAGTCACCCCTTCTTTCTTCAAAGTCGGATCTGGCAATAGTCCTCCTACTTTCAAATTGGGAAAGTCTTCTAGGAGGTTGCACACTTTCCTGTACAGTATCTCTCTCTCCTTTTATCTCCCCTTGTGGAATTCTGAAAACTTTATCAATCACCCCTTCTGTTCCCTCTTTTGATATTTCGGTTACAGATTCCTTTATTTGAGGAGATGGCACACTCTCAACGTCTACTCCTCTCTCACAACATACCCCTCTGCTATCCTGAGAGTTTTTATGTATTTGTTCAATCATTTTTGACAGCAAAGAAAGGTTGGGACACTTTTTAAAAACCTCCCTGTATTTTAAGTAGCAACCCAATTTTTTCTCACCATAGCAAGAAGAAGTTTCCATATAGAGGTATCTGTTGCAGGGAATCAGTAGGGTGAAAACTCTGGGCTAGAGAGTGATCAGGTAGCTTGTACAGTAATTACAACACTGTAATGAAAACCATCCAAAACACAATTCCTTCCTTTCTGTAGAAATTGATCAGGTACTGCAGTGAACAGAGGCAGAAAGGCTTGGTGGGACTTTGAAAATTATTTAGAGTGCAGAATAGGAAATGCTTCTTCTGATCAGCTGTAGTGTTCGGGGAAACTCTGATACTGCTACCCCACAATTGAGAAAGAAAGGATGCTGTGCCACTTCTGGCCTCTCAGTTCTCTATGGTGCCCCCAGTTGCAACCACCACCATCTCTTAAAGCTAGCATAGAATAATTTGCTGGTTGAGGCAGTGCTCTCTGCCTCTGATGAAGTGGACTATAGTTCTCAAAACACACACCAAATAAAACTTGTTTGAAGTGCTTCAGGGCTTTTATGGCAGCAAGTGACTAACATGTCTAGGCCCCTGACCCCAAGACAGTTTTAAAAGGAATCACTTTGGGCAAATTTCTCATGTGACGTTTCGATCAAAGTGTGTGGTGGTGGTGGTGGGGGAAATGTTTCTCTGACAGTGTAATTCTTGATACAGCTGGTGTTTTTAAATATTACTGCTTTATTTATTTGTTTGTTTATTTATTTATTAGATTTCTATCCCACCCTTTTAGACAAAGTCTACTCCGGGCAGGTTCCATTAAACATTATAAGCTAAAACAGTTAAAAACACTGTTTTAATTGTATAATAAGAATAAAGTATTGATAGGAGGGAAGGCCTGCCTGAAGAGCCAAGTTTTTAATTGGCTCTTAAAAACAGTGTCCTACCTGATGGATTATAATCTCTGTAAATATGCCTTGTAAAATAAGCCCATAGAAGAAGTTAGAATCATAATTGTAGACACTGCAGGGATTGTTAAATCAGTTTTTTAAAAAAGCTGTTGCACAACATAGAAACCAACAAAGTCCTCCCTGGAATAATATTACAGTCTAAACCGGCTTTGTGAGTAGACCCAGAAAAGTGACTTTCTTGCATACCTTGGTTTTTGTTCTCTTAACCTGCTGGGATGTTGCAGGGAAGGGCGATGGAGAATCCCTCTGGGATTTGAGTCGTGGGAGTGGAGGAGCAGAGTCCCTTGGCTTACAGCCTGCTAGGCTTCCGAGCACACCAGTTTTGCTCAGCCTGGCTGTTAGCTCACCAGCATGATTTCCCTTCTTGCCTGTGGCGACCAGGCAAATGCTTAAACACAATACTGAGATAAATAGGTATAAAGGGAAAGATGAAGGGAATAGGATAGAGAGAGCAAGAGAAAGAAAAGACTCATATTTTCTGTCTTAATGATAGATGGAATGGAATAGATGGAATTTGATTTTATTGTGGACTGAAGAAGTTCACCTTGTCTCTTAAAAGCTTCATCAAGGGGACTGTGTCTGTGATCCCGATGGAAAAGGAGCTCTTTTGCGAGAGTGCTTGTCATCCTAAGCCCTGTACTTATGTGTGTTACACAGCACTTTGACCTCTAATGTTGTTATTTTAGGGGAGGACCATTTACTTGATTGTTGTTAGATATGGTCTCTGGAGAACATTGGACTGCTTGAAAAGCTGGCCCAGATCAATCAAGCAGTCGAAATGTATAATGTCAGTGCTTATAAAAGCTGCAGTTGGCAAAGTGATCGCTATTCTAAAAAGCCCTCCTTTTCTGTTACATAAGAAGAGATGGGAAGATGCATCTTTGAGGATGGCCATCCCTCACAGAAGACCACCAGATGTTTTCTACTACAGCTTCCGCAAGCTTTTGTTTTGTTCTGTTCTGTTCTGTTCCTGTTGAACTAGTGAATCAGATCTGGAATATTTTGAGCCAAACACTGCTTGTGAAACTGGTTGTTTCACATCCATTGTTAACATCCATCCTTAACATCCATTGTTCTTCTCTCCAAAAACTGCTAAAAATCAAGGGACCCTCTCAGGGGGGTTACAGTCGGAAGGAGAACCTGGAGGATCTTCACATTATGGGTGTAAATTTATGGAGAGGTAATTGTCTGTTTTTGTCAGACAAAAACAGATTCAGATAGAAATAGGCTTCCAGGTAATCACAGGTTACTGTTCAGCGGACTGTATTATACTCTGCCATTAGCAATGGTTCTTTCTTAACAAAGAAAGAATTTAATGTATTCTCGAAGGCTTTCACGGCCATAATCTAATGGTTGTGGTTTTTTCGGGCTCTTTGGTCGTGTTCTGAAGGTTGTTCTTCCTAACGTTTTGCCAGTCTCTGTGGCCGGCATCTTCAGAGGACAGCATTCTGTACTCTGGTGTAGTTTGCTTGGGAGCCTATCTCACAGCCATAAATACTCCACTCCCAAGCCAACTACACCAGAGCACAGAGTGCTGTCCTCTGAAGATACCGGCCACAGAGACTGGTGAAACGTTAGGAAGAACAACCTTCAGAACATGGCCAAAGAGCCCGAAAAACCCACAACAACCAAAAGAAAGAATTGTTGTAAATTAAGAGTGTCGTATGTACCCATTGTGCTCTTATTCTTAGTCTGTTTCAAGGTTACATGTAGATATAATGATTTATAGTATTAAAGACTTCATTTTTAATATATTGAAAATATAGGCGTTACCTGTAAAAATGTCTTTTTTATTCTGAGTGCCTGGGATGAAAACTGTTGTTGCTGGTTTTGTTATGATTATTATTCTAATGTATTTTTGTCATACATCTAACATATTTTAGTTATGCTATGATGAAAGTAAATATTAGCGGTTAAAAATATTAACAGTGATATTAGTATTAGTGTATTTTCTCTTTCTTTTCTTAAGGTTTGGTGGTTAAAAATTCACTAATTTGTTTATAAGGAGATCCCAGGTTTGGGCTGAAAGCTCCATCATGTCAAAAGAGATTAAGAACCTCCAGAAACGGTGGAACGTCCTACTGGAAACTGTTCACAGCAATTCCCATGTGAGTTATAAATTTCACCATCAATTTTACAGTGTGATTACATGTTTGAATTCTATCTGAGGATGGGTAGACTCAACTTATGCCCACCATAACAACTCTCTTTAGTTTGTAAGTGTTTCCGGGCAAACCAAAGATAGAATCCACCTATTTCATTCTGCCACCACCACACCATCCTTTTCCAGCTGTGTAACAAGTTCCTATTTAATACCTCTGAGACTGAAAGCAATGTGCTTCTGTACAGAGATGTGAATTCTGGGACTACAACTCCCTGAGTTTCCCAAGCAACTGCAGTTTTTATAGTCCACAAACACAAATCTGCACACCTTTATTTCTGTTGGGGAACATGACAAGAAGCTTATTACTGAGTTCATGTCTTCCTTGTGGACTTCCCAAAGGTATCTGCTTCACTGCTGTGGATATAACATGGTTAATTAGGCCTTGTCTTTTGTATGATTAGACTTGGATTTACAGTATATTATTATTGTTATTGTTGTACTATTTATCTGCTGGTTGGAAGGCTCACAACTGGACATGAGACTATAGCAGTGCATTGGCAAGGAACAAGCATGATGTTTCATTATCCAGTGTATTAATAGAGAGCTTGATCTCAAGAGTGTGAATTATTATGTGATCTAAACAATGTCATCCATGCTGGAGTACCCAAAAGATCTGGTGGGAGAGAAGACTGATATATATTAGTTACGTTTCTATATTGGTTTCCATCTAGTGACCTCAAGGTGGCAAACAAATCTCTCGCCTTCAGCAACCCTGTGAGATAAGTCAGGCTGGGAAAAAGTGACACCCAGGGAACTTCATTCCTGACTGAGGGATAGAATCTGGATTTCCCAATCCTTTCCCCCATTTTCTAGCACAACATGTGCAGGCTCTGTTGGTGTGGAGTGCTGAACAACTGTTAGGGGAAGGGGGAGACAGAAAGTTAGTGAGAAAGAAGGTGGAATGGAACGCTTGGTCAGCTAGAACCCTGGAGCTTGGTAGATATCAGGGCGGGCAGCCACCAGGGTCTGCAACTGCACCAGCCCCATTTTTCACCCACCCAGATCTTGGCAGGCCACACCTACCCCATTTCCTTTCAAATTGGAAGTGATCCTAATATGCACATAGCCTCTTTAATGGCGTACATTAAAATGTTTGTATATTAGTATCTCAGTATTTGCAAGACATCCAGTTGTGCGTCCTTTCTAATAACGTTATAAGTTAGACCAGGATCAGTAAACGTCCAGTATAGTTATATAAGTTAATCATGCCTCACTTAAGTTCCATAGTTTTGCTACACCTCCAAGTAGCTTCTTCAATCTGAAACATTTCAACCAAACAAGAAAGAAGTTCAGTGGCCGTGACTCAACTTCTAGATAACCACCCCTGGAGGACTGAGAATCTTCACAGATCCAACACTACATCTTATTTTCAATGCTTTCCTTTCCCCTTTTTGCTGTCTGGTACCATGTATAGGTTGTGAAGTTGATCAGTGTCACACTGAATTAGATATCGTTACTACATTATTAAAGCACTCTGCTGTAGAATGATAACCTTGACCTCCAAACTACACTTCGCTCCTGTTTTCACCTTCGAGGGAAACTTCCAAACGATACCTCCAACACTGCCTCCTATATTTCGATGATTCTGGCCTGAAGAACCATGTTTAGTTTTGCATTTGCATCAAATGAACTGTCTTTAGCTATGAAGGGCAGGGCAGAACTTGTGAAGCTTTTTGCTCTTACTTAACAAGGATTTAGGGAACATCATCCTAGATAGATCAGTCCTCATCCTTCATTCAACATCTGTTGGGCAGCCTTAATAAACTGAGGCAGTGCTTCATGGATCTGATGAAGCAGGTTACAATCCACAAAAAATTACACCCAGCAAAATACATTAATCTTTAGGTGTTACGGGACTTTTTTTTAAAGCAGCAGGATAACACTGTTAACCCCTGGGAATTTTCTTCTTTAAATGACTTCCTCTTTGAGTTATTACACTTCAAAAAACATTCAAGGATATTTATAATAAGCATCTTTCCCCCCCTCCCACTTTTGTTACAGGTTGTGGCCTTTATGAACTCCCGAGTTGGCCGCTACTTAGATGACCATCCCTTTGTCTCCCTCTCACTGTTGGTCTTCATTGCAGCGTCTGCAATTCCTGTTGCATTGTTTCTGGTTTTTGTTGTTGCCACCATTGTGTTTACCTGCATCGGAGTGATTATCGTGGAAGGTATTGTTTTTGGTTGATTGGTTGGTTTTAAATTAGTGCAAAGTGACTGAACTACCTCCTCTCCAAGGAACAGCAATCATTCAGTGGTTGAGCTTGCACTTTACATACAGAGGGTCCCAGATTACTGTATTTTTCGCTCCATAAGACGCACCTCTCCATAAAACGCACCTCATTTTTAGGGGAGGAAAACAGGAAAAAAATATTTTGGCCCACTGGGCCCTTGGGGGTGGAGGTGGGGGGGAGCCTCGGAAGGGTCCGGGAGTGCCTTCCAGGACCCTTCGGAGGCTCCCCCCACCCCCCGTGGGGCCAGCGGGGGCAAAATCACCAGCTTCCAGGACCCTTCGGTGGCTTTCCAAGCCTCAGAAGGATCCTGGAAGGTCACAATTTCACCCCCGCAGGGGTGGGTGGGTAGAGCCTCTGAAGGGTCCTGGAAGGCACTCTCGGACCCTTCTGAGGTTCTCCCCCACTATCCCCCTGCTGGGCCCTGGGGAGCACTGTTTTACAGTATTCGCTCCATAAGACGTAGACATTTCCCCCCCACACACACACAATACAATATGCAAGAAATGTGCTCAGAATGTGAAACTTTATGGGACGGTATTATCAGAGGACTTGTTACAATTTATCCCCTTCTGAACCTACATTTCTTTAGTGGTTTGAAGGAGGCACAGGCTGAAAGAAGATAATGATGTATTAGTGGCATTCTTGCCAATTTCTAGTAGACCACGGCATCTGCATGGAAACTTGTGGGCCTTCTGATATTTCTGTACTCAAAATCCCGCATTATCAGGGATTTGAGATATTGTAGGTCTTCTGGAGGGCAACAGGCTTCCAATAAGCAACAGGCCTAGTGCCCACTGGGTAGGTGGGGCTCATCAGCCTTGGAAAGCAGCCCATCTAGGAGAAGGAAAACCCCGATTTCAAACCTCCACTACCTTGTGGCTATATCCACTGATGAAAAAGTCTTCAGGAGTAAACCTCGAGGCAAAATCCGGAGCCGGAGTCCCGGAGGCAGTTTGTGATGTTCTGGCAACTCCTGCGACATCTCTGGAATCGGTTGTATTGGCTCTTGCCTTTCCATTGGACTACTTCGGCGATGTGGAGAGGGGGGATTTGCTCCTTGAGTAACAGCCTATCCTCCATATTCTTTTACCCAGGCTTCGTGCTCTGGAGAGGACGCTGTTCCAAGACCTCTATTAACAGCATGTTACCATAGTCTTTCGAGACTGAAGGATGCCTACACAGATGTTAGAAGTAACTTGACAACGTGTAACATACAATCAGATTATGGGTTTATTGGAGGGCAGTATTGCATTGGCAGTTTTCCTTTTGCTTCCTTTCCTTTGCAACA